AAATATTTTCAATAGATGCCTCTGACAAAGGATATGTTTCCAGAATACATGAAGAACTCCTTTCAAATAAAAGTGAATAAAATAAAATGAAAATAAGATGGGCAGAAGTTTTGAATAGACACTTCACAAAAAAAACACTAATGAGTAGCTAATAAACACATGAAAAAGTATATTCAAGCATCAGTTGTCATCAGGAGAAGTATAACATGCTACAACCACTTCAGTGTATGCCTTTGCCAACTCAAAAATGATATTCTTCAGATCTGTGTATTTAACTGTATATAGACCCTCCAAAAAAGGAAGAAAGTATAAGTTTTAATCTGTAAAATGCATTGATTTTCTCTGTATCTTACAGCATCCCTTCCCAATCTTCTTCCCTCCTAGCTTATCCCCCTCTTTTTTTTGTGTGATGTGCCTGCTGTGTTACATTGTTTTAGGGGATGACAACCAATATAAAGATGAATAAAATAAACTGAGCTCCTGACATCCGGGAGCCAGATCATAATGAACTATAGCCAGGTAGCCATGTGATAAATCCGTAAAGCACAGAGGAGTTGCCCATCCCAGGAAAGCCAGGATGGGCTGCTTGGAGGGAGTGGTTGATAGCTCAGATAAGCTTGGATGAATAGTGTTGCTCCTTAGTCACAGTGGGAAGGGCTTTCCGGAAAAAGAGCGCAGCATATGCAAACTTGGCAACCTGTGATCAGAAGTGCTGGAAGGTGCTGCTGGTGCAGGGGGAGGTGAGGTGAGGCAGGTCAGCAGAGACCTTGTCAGAAAGTGTCCTTTACCTGCTGTGGAATTTGGGCTTTATCTTGAAAAGAAAGGGAACTGTTAAAAACGTCTATCATCTTGTCTTCCTACCTAGAGCATAAATTCCTTGAAATAAATGTGCTGTTCATCTTTGTATTCTTTAATGTCTAGCCCTGATCCTGGAATGGGTAGGACGGTGAGTGGGTGTTGATGGATCTCTTAAGTCTGGGATAGTCTCTTAGAGTCCTGCATGCTAGATTCAGCCACATTATTAAAATAGAATTTGTCAGAGCAGAGAGACTTTTGGAATGGAGGGGTGAGGGTCTCATCACATCGTGGACGTTGTACTTAGGCACTCCCTAGATTAATTATTTCCTCATTAAATCTATGTCACTATGCTTGCTCGGAATCCATCAGTGACCTCTGATTACTCTGAAGATAAAGACCAAAGTTCAGAATGGCTTTCACACCTCCTGTTCCCTGTCTCAGGTTCTTTTTGCCTATTTAATTCCTATTTATTTCTAAGCATTTGCTTCTCTTCCCTGGAAAAGCCTTCCCTGTCCCATCTTTCCCACAAGTGAACTCTCAAAACTCTGCTTAATATGTCATCACCTTAGTGTGAGTATTTGATTTCCCTTCTGCTCTCATGAGAACATAATACCGTTCTGTCCCTTGCATCTGTCACAATGCCTAGTACAGAGTAGATACTCAGCAAAAATATTTTTGGTTGCATGAATGCATCCTTGACAACTATCGGGAATATGGTATAGTTCTGTCTTCAGATGAAGGCATTCAAATTCAGATGTTAAGTCACTTGTCCAAAGTTGCATGATCAAGAAAAGCCAGATCTAGAACTCAGGGTTAGCTGCCAACAAATCCTCCCTCTCTGTGCTAACAGACACTTGGTTGATGGATGCCTTTTCATGCCTCAGTCTCTGACATGATTCTACCTACATGTTGGTCAGTTGATAGAATGAACAGTATAGTGGTTAAGAACATGGACTCTGTAACCAGTCAACTCAAGTTCCTCTTTCACTAGTTACTAGCTATGTTGCCTTCAGCAAGGTGCTGAAGCTCTCTATGACCCAGTTTTCTGGAAAATGGGATAAAAATATTACCCACTTTATAGGATTAAAGTAAACTAACTCATATACATTACTGTTAACACACACAAAATTACTCAATAATTGTTGGGTATTACTATTATCAAAACACATTATTCTTTTCCATTTTCTTACTGTAATCCAAAAATTATATCTAAAGATAACATTGTTTTATGTTTTTATTCTGTGACCATTTTCTCTGCATGCCTGAAGCCATCTGTTCCTAAGTCATAGCAGTTCTGTGTTCTCTCAGTTTAACTTTGGCCATTTCTGCATCTCAGCAGAAGCATAAGTTATCTACCTTGAAGAGCAAAATCAACTACTATTAATACCCTTAGCTATAAATTTCTGGGTTTTAGGATTCACACACTTCACACCTCTGCTCATTTAGCAAAAGCTGTGTTATAGTGTAGTAAAAGATGCACTATTAATAGTGCTGCTTCTCTCTCTCCCTCTCAAATCAAAGCCTTTTCCCCAAAGTAAGCAACGGTTATTGAACCATTTTTGATTTGATTAACTGACCTGATTGTTGGGAAGTGATTCATGTCACCCTTCTTTCCCCCATTCTTCAGTAGGTGAGACCAGGTGTGACGTACAGGAAATTTAAAAAGGAAGAAAGGAAGGAAAATAATTACTTCACATATGTAACAGCTGCATGCCAAAATTGTAACATTTTAAACATGTTCCCTCATAATGGAATTTTCTATAAAAAAAAAAATCCTTTATTCCTTCCCTGGTTGTTCATTGTTGAAATTCTTAAAGCTAGTTTCTTGTGGTTAGAATGTAAGTGTGTGTGTGTATGTGAGTGTGTGAGTGTGTCTGTCTTAACTCTTTATCTTGCTCTTAAAAGAAACTAGCAACTGATTTATGTTCAAATGATGACAAAAATAACACTAGTACATTTGCCACCCAGGTATTACTACATGTTTAGGTGATGTTGCCAACCCTTGCAAGAGAGATATGCTCATCCTGGAGACTTAACAAGACTAAAAACTTCCCCAGGGAAGCTGGCATGTACTAAGCTCTGGAGGGGTAGGTGTTAATGAGAGATGGTGTAATGGGATAAGTAGAAGCAAGTCTGCAGAGTAAGTTGGGTTATAAATGGAAGACCTCAAGAGGCAGGCTAAGGCATGGATAATTAATTTTTCAGGCAACATGGAAGTAATGAAGTTTTTTGAACTGGGAGCTTGAAGCAGCACAGATGCTGTTTTCAAGGCAGTGGCTCTAAAGTGTGGTTTCTAGATGAGCAGTATCAGCAATGCCTTGGAAACAACAAAGTATACATGCTGCACCTCCTCCTACCTATTCAGTCCTGGCTGCTTTAAGAGAATTATAACCATGCAGAGCAGGAAGGGTTAGAAAGGCAATGAAGAACAGTGGGAGGCTATGTAAGAGCCAAGGGAGAGGTTATTAGGGCATAAGTAAGTTTGGGTTGTTTCACCGGGAATTAAACAAAAGGAAAATGGTGAGATATTTCAAGGAAGGAAGATGTAATAGGACTTGATGACTAAATGGTGGTAGGAGTATAAGATCTGAGGCTGACATGTTATGCCTGCATGCTCACTAATGTGTTAGGACTGCAGATAAGTACAAAAGCCATGCGACTGGGGGGAGGCAGTAAGTTCATATTCCTCAGGGTGGAAACCTTATCATGCCTTAATTTATAGCTTTTGTGTCTTATCCATACCCACCAATCTACTACTCTCAACTAGATAACTTTCCCTATGGGATTGAAAATGTACCAGACGCTCAATAATAACATTGACCATGGATTGAGTTCTTATTAAATGCCAAGAGCTTTTCTCTAAGCACTTTATATTCATTATCCTGTTGTTGTTATTCACTAGTTATGAATGTCTGTAGATTGCCTTTCTTTAGTGTCCAATCTAAGCTACATGCCACTATAAATTTAATGTTTTTAAACACTGATCTAAGCAGCTAAGAGTCTGGACTCCTGAGTCAGACAGCTCTGGGTTTAAAAGAAAGCCCTATCATTTAGCAGGTATGTAGTCTTGAGCAAGTGACTTACCCAATCTTTACTCTAAATTTTTCCCAGCTCTGTTAGTGGGAATTATTATTATAATGAGGATGCTGTGAGTGAGACTCTTACCGTCATTGTGAGAAGTGAGAAATTACACATGTGTAAAATACTTAGGAAATGTTAGGAACTAATATTTGGCAATGATGATGTTATACTCTTGCTCAGAACTTCATTGGCTCATCTGTTTCAGAGAATAGTTCAAGAGACTCCTTAGTTTGACATTTAAGGCTTTCTATAAAACCAGTCATGCCCTACCTGCCAAACCTTTTATGTGGCAATGCTTTGCATAACCCAGTCTGGCTAAGCTGACCATTGTCCCCTAATGTACTGACTCTTCCACAGCCTGACCTTTGTTCTGTTGCTGTGTTGGTCACCTTTTTGCCACTGTCACAAAATACCTAAGGATACTTTGTAAAAAGAAAAGGTTAATTTTGGTCACAGTTTTGGAGGTTCTAGTTCATGACTGATTGGCCCAGTGTTTTGAACCTGTGGTGAGATAGCACATGACAGTGGGTGTAGTGGCTGAGCAAAACTACTGACCTCACAGCTGGGAAGCAGAGAGAGAGAGAGGAAATGGCCAGGGCCCTATAGTTCCTTTGGTGGCACACCTCCAGTGACCTAAGGACCTCCTACTAGGCCCCACCTACCAAAGTTTCCATCACCTCCCAATATGCCACCTGGGGGCCAAGCCTTTAGCACATGGACCTTTTGGGGACAGTGGATAGCTAAACTCCAGCACTTGCTCCTCTACCCATCATGTCCAAGTTCTTCAGGGCCCAGCCTCAGAGTCATCTTCAAAATGATTAAACTCTTGGGTATGATAGCTTTTATTGCTCAGTGGACCCAATACAGCCATTGGTGGTTGGTCAGGATGATTCTGTCCAAGCTGGGCTCCCTTTTCCTCAATCTTTGGTACTTGTAGGGCTGTGCTTTGTCCATCTTGTACTCCGTGCCTCACCCTAATGATAGTAACACATGCCTTGACATACCTTTGATCTTTTTCAAGTTCATTTAAATATGTATTGGTGTTTTTTCTCTAATGATACTGATCATGTTCTCTGTAAGAAGAGCATTTAATCTATGAGATACTATTTTTTTTTTTTCAGGATGAACTTGACCTCACAGACAAACACAGGGAAGCCATGTTTGCACTTCCAGCTGAGAAAAAGTGGCAAATATACTGTAGCAAGAAAAAGGTAAGATACTCATTGTAACTATGGTTAACTGGAAAATTATCATTTTTAATCTGCCACCAGCACTCAAACAGCTCTTTATGATGCTAAAATCCAGATTAAATGTGTGATGTGTGGCAACCTTGGGTTTACATGGGACAAGTGCCAATGCCTTGGATATTGCTTTTGTCAGTACGTCATTGAGCTCCCCTGCACCTGTAACTGCTATTTGTGATTGTGTGTGTCTTTTGTGAAATAGAAATGTCCTCTCTGCCTATTACATAACAGTGTGTAGGTCATGATGGTTATTATGGGCTCAAAGCTCTCTGTGACCACTTTCTAGCAACTTTACATTTTGCCCACTCTAAGATGTGGCCTTATCCTAATGGTCTGAAGTGGCTTTCCAGCCATTTTAAATTTCAAACTAAGGATATAGAAAAGGGAGGAAAGGTGCAAACTCTGCCATCTACACTTTTAGGGGAACATTTCAGGAGTTATACACCTGACATCCCCTTATACTCACTGTTAGGAACATGGCTATACTTTGCTTCAAAAAACAAAGTCTTCATTCTGGGCAGTCACTTCCCATCTAAAAACTAGGGTTTCTGTTATCTTAGGAGATAGGGAAAATGGACATGGTGGGGGCGTGCAGCAAAACTACTGAAAGCTCTTACTCCCTAGCATCCAAGGTACTAGGTATCACTCCATTGACTGCATCTCCTGAGATAAGCCTCACTCTGCCAGCTCTTAAAACCTGTGGCAGATTTTTAGACCATCCCCGTATCCATTTTTCAACTCATTCTTCTCACGGGTACCTATTGCCCCTTTTCCTTTTGTTCCGATAGAGACTTGAACCAAAATGGGCATAATGTTGTGCCAATCTTGCCAAAAAATTTAAAGCATATTTGAGTTTCCTCCTGAGCATTTGTAATGGGTAGAAATACGTGTCAGATTTGGTTCTGGTGGTTTTTGCTAAGAGGTATGTCCAGCTCTGTCCTCTCAGGATGATGACTGAGTTGCTGTCAGAGCAGCCTAAATTGAGGTCTTAAGTGTCTTCACCCAGTAACAGCCAGTAAGATGTCTTCATCAGACGGCATGTTGTCTTCTCTTCCATATTCTCTCTTTGGACACATCTTGCCATTGAAAACCTCATTGAATGGACTGTCACAGCTCAAGAAATATATACACACTGGGAAGGCATTTGAAAATCAAAATAAAATGCATTCACCCTGCCCCTGGGATTATGTGGTCTTTGGAAGCCAGGGACTTTTCCACACTGCTATGTTAAAGGCCTGCCATTGGGACTATGAAAGAAAAATCTCTGGTGCCTGTGTATACAGAGCACCCTGTCTATTTTGGCTCCTCCTAGTGCAGGTTTTTCCTCAAAATTAGGAAGCAATGCAAAGTAGGAATTGAGAAAATGCACTGGAGGAGGGGAAAGGGCAAGAAAATGGGAGCAGTTGACTGAGGGGAAAGTTTTCTTCTTTCCCAGATTTTATTACACCCTTGACAGCAATTGAAAGTTAATCATGGAAACTACTGCCCCTTTCATCAGAGAAGGCAAACCCCGGAGGATAGTAAGGACCTGAGGCTCACAGCTGCTGCTCATTTTTCAATTTCCAGGCCTCTCAGATTGCAGTGCAAGCTTTGTCTCAAGTGTGCATGATGAAGTTGGCTTTTTGTGGGAGGATGAATGTGGATGTGGCCACTGACTGCAGAATCCCATGTCTTGATGGATGGGCCCTTCTTATTAGTTACCTGGCCAGATTACACAGGTGTCAGGGAATGCACTTCTGCTACCTCCTTTTTAGCAGCTTGGATTCCTTATGTGACTTAGCAGTGGCATGGCTGAGAGGGGATCATGTTAATTTGGGGGGGGAATCCCATGGGCTTATACATCTGCCTTGCTTTAAAATAGATGGTAGCATTGCTTGACTTAGAATATTCTTTATTAGAACTTCTCAGGCTGTATACTATGGCTGTGGTCTGAAACTGAACTTTTTTGGACATTTCAATAAATCAAGAAATATGTAATGAATTTGAGATCATAAAAACCTAACCAGCAAAAAGATATGATGTTTACCTCTTCAGATAATAAGATGTCTCTTAGAATGGAGTTCCATGGTGACCATGCTTGATCTTAAGAACAGATTATTTTCTTTGGAACATACTTGGGTAGCTTTTTTAGATCAGGTTTATTGCCAGCCAGCAAAACCACATCCATTTCTCAGGCTGAGGGAAAGCTACATTCATGCTGCCTTCAAATTTTCCATCTGTCAAGATTAGAACCCAGGACAGCACAGACATTCTCCCACATAGTAAAGCCATAGAGTAAGGGCCCACTGAAGCCAAGAGAAACAGACCACAGGAACTGGTGAAAAGCAGGCTCTGTGTGTAAAAGCGGACAGAAGTGGTGGAAGCAAACAAGACTGGGACTTGAGCACAGGCCCAGGGTTTCCTGAGCCAACTGCCCCTTTTCTGTCCAACAGAGACTTGAGCCCCAGCAGCAGCTGTCTTCTTATCAGCTCTGTGTTCATTTAGGAAACTCTCTAAGTCTCTGGTTGAAAACTTATTTCCAGAGTCAAAATAAAAAGCAGCAAAAGTATTTCTTGGGGCTAAAATGATTGGAAAGAAGTGAGTTGTAATTTTGCCTAATTGAGTAATCTGGGGCGAGAGTCAGAGATGCATGTTATGGTCTTGCTGAAAGTCCAAACAAATCTATCACAGTTACTAGACTGGTTGGTTTCCCCTGGTTTGTTATAGACAACAATCCACTGTCAAATTTTTAAACTTTCATGAACAGTCCCCAAAAGGTCCTGATGGTGGGGTTGGGGGTATTTTCAAATAGGAAATGTTTGTGGTTCTTATCTTTAAAGGTAATTCCCTTTTTAGTTCCAATCACAACATACTCTTTTGTTTAAATGATGTTTTTCCCAGTCTCCAGCCAGAAACTGCATCTGCTAACAATCTTTTGGATTTAAACTGAAGCTTTTTAAACAATGAACCATCTGACCACAAAAGGCATCTGGCCATGCTATATTTGCTTATTGTTAACATGATTTTTAAACCCTGGGAAAAGTAAGAAGTAGGGCTTCAGCAAGGTGACAGTAAAGTAGCATATATACTGTATTGTAGTAACAACAATCCCAGGAAGAAATCTTTAATTGCTGTTCTTTGTGTTACTTAATCAGTCCTTTAAGTATCCAGAAAATGCTCTTACCCCTCCTTGGGCTTTAGAGTTTGCAAAGGAAGCAAATGGGGCTATAGACACTGTTAGGTGTAATGACATCAGATATTTGAGGTACAGGTCAGGATTTGACCACTGTGCCTAAATTTTTCCTATTGTTTTTGGTCTCTAAAGCCAAGCCTTAAGTAAGTAGCATTAGATTCTTCATATTGTGTGTCTGTAGATTTTGAGGACAACTTTGGGGAAGGTGAATTTCCCCTCTGCTGTAGAGTATGTGTTTGATTCTAGCTTAATTAAATCATGCGAGAATCTTCTAACCTGGCTTCAGTTCAGCTCTTGTGATTTCAGCAAATTGCTGATGTGGTGCTAGGTACATTCGGAAGACATCTAGAGAAAGTGGCTGAAAATTCAGCGAGCATTTTTCATTCACTCCTTTTATTTGGTTTGTATTTCCTAATTGGATCAATTCCCTACTCTTTCCCACAAAATGGAGTTCTATCACCCTGAGCACACAAAGATGAAAGTTGTATTGGGGTGTGAGATTCTTTCAGCAACTGCAGTTGGGAAAGCCTATATTTGGAGTGCCCAGACCAAGTGATTTGATCAGAAGAAGACTAAGGCATATGCTAAAGTAGTGGAATTAAAGACAAAAGGAGCCATCAGTTTCTTACCCAACAGTCAACAAGTTAGCTGGGAAACAAGGAGGTGAGATGAGACATTAGTCCTTTAGTCATCCCATACCCTAATGAGAAGCTCCATGGAGGGACTGGGAAGAGAAACAAGATTTGGAAGAAGGAGCAGGAAAAGGGAGAAAATAGACTTATGTCTTTTTTTTTTTTTTGGTGATGCTTGGGATCAAGCCCAGGGCTCCTTGCATGCAGGCAAGCATTCTACCACCAAGTCACATCCCCAACTCTATTACTAGACTTCTTTAGAAGTACCTGGTTTGGTTTCTTGCCATTGGATTATTAACCTTACGACAGTTTCAAATTGGCATTCATGCTCTTAAATTATGAAGTCTTAAAGAAAGTGGCAGAAGCAGTCATAAGTAGAATAAAATTTGCCAAGACTCAGCTACTTGAGAGGTAGAAGCAGGAGGATCTCAAGTTCAAGGGCTGCCTGGGCAAAGTTAGTGAGATTATATCTCGAAAAAAAAAAAAAAGAAAGGAATGGGTGTGTGGCTCAAGTGGTAGAGTGCTTGCCTAGCAAGTGTGAGTGTGTAGTTTTAATCCCTAGAACCAAAAAACAAAAAAAGAAAAAAAAAAGTCTGTCCCCCCCCCCCCAAAGAATGTATAAGGGATGCACAGTAAGCATGCAATCATAAGCACCTCTGGGTTCTGCAGGCTCCAAAACTCCCTGTTCTATGTTCACATATTCCCTGGTACTGAGAAACGAAGCTTTGTAGTAACCCCTGCCTGAAACAGTAAGAAATAACAAGTTCTGTGTTTCTGGTGTTTCACTCCTTGAAGCACTGCAGGTGGTGAAGGGCACATTGTGTGATTACTTAGTTTTTATACTGAATATCTTCTCTAGGAAAGCCCTTTGCTAGATTCCAAGGATGATTAAACAAAGAAGTAAAATTTCTTGGAGTGGTTCTGATAGAAGAGGCAGATAAAACCAAATGTTTGTTGAGTCTTGTCATAAGTTCTACAATAGGGGAAGCAGAAGGTTCTGAGGCACAGAGGAAGGTGTGACTCACCTCTGGGAGTGTGACTGAGGGGACTGTCCCTCCACCACTTTGCACCATTGGTTATGCCAGGGAGAGAGTTAATGTTGTTATGCTTTCATTCCATTGTTTTTTTTTATTCATTTATTTGGTGGGACAGGGGTTTGAACT